AAAAACCTGATGAATAGCAGTGGCACACTGTCAGCACCAGAATATTGAATATTGCCACATACTAAATACCTCCATCTTTGTGATGCAATAGTGAATAATTGTTATCAGGACTGATTGTGAGGGTTGGAAATCTAAAAGTGGACATTTTGTAGCAAGGAGGGGAGTGATTAACTTTTCAGTCTCAGAGCGGAGGACCCCAGGACTATCAATGGAGAAAAGCGGAGAGCGGGATCCTACCCAGAGAAGTGGTGAGGCCTGCGATGGAGGCAGAGAAGACGACGTCAAGAGATGGTGTGGCTGGGGACTCGGGATCAGTAGATGGAAAGGGGTTGAGGACTGTGGTGCGGGGGTCACAGGCTTACAGGGTACACCCTTTGGTTGGGTGAGGATACATGGACGTGATGGTAACTATGCCAATGAAATGATAGATGATGGAATGAATGTAAAGCTAATGTTCTCCCATGTAGACTATCACACAATTCACAATAAAACATTTTAAAAAAATTATTTACTCTGTAACCAAATAATCTATGTTTGTACCAATGTTATGGCAAGTGCTTATTTTAACATCACCCTACCTTTCTCTACAGTTTCTTGTAGAGCTTTCTTCCACAGTTGAATAGATTTTTCATATGATCCTAACAGAAAATGCTCTTCACCTAAAAAGTTTTTAATGAACAATTAGTCATTGTTAACTACAGAATTTTATGAATCTTACTTTGTTTTCCAATTCAGTGGCTACTTCTCAGCCAGAAATTATTTTGAAAACCAAATAATTGCAACCAATTAATAAAATCAAAGCCCAGTTAACTATAATGCTTATTCACAGAGCTTGAAATTTTTGGTAAGATACTGACCATTTAGGGGCTGAGAACCATAGTCTCAGGGGACAACAAGGTAAATTGGCATAATATAGTCCATAAAGACAATGTTTTATACCCTCCTCTGTTAGCAGCCTCTAAGGTGCATCTATTGGTCTCTCCCTGTCTGGAGCAAAGAAGAGTGAAGAAAATAAAAGATGCAAGAAAATAATTAGTCCAAAGGACTAATACAACTCCAGCTTCTGGGGCCCTAGACCAGAAAAATTAAATGGTGCCCACCTATCATTGTGACTGTTCTGAAAGGAATCACAATAGGAAGTCTTGGACAAAGTGGGAGAAAAACGTTGAACAAAACTCAAAATAACAAAAAAAACGTTCAGGCTTACTGGCCTGAGAGAGTTTGGAAGAACCTCTAGACTATGGCCCTTGGGCATTCTCTAGGCCTACAACTAGAGTTATACCTGTGGCTCAACATTTAGCCAGATACTACACAGATCTATGCAAAAATAATAACACCAGGGAGGTATGCAGTCTTTAGAACACTCAACCATATAAGGTCAAAGGGCAGTGTTTCCACAGAAGGCAAGAAGGGACAGGAATGGAGGATTAATGAAAACAGTAAACAAAGGGAGGAAATGGGAAGAATGCTGTTAAATTGTGGGGATTACGATTTTTAAAAAAAAGGATACTGACCATTTATACATTTAAGTTCTAAGGTTTGGTTCAAGTGATCTCCAGCAGCCTGTAAGTTGGCCTGTATATGGCACAGCAGGTACTCGACAGTAGAGGCTTCTTGTGTCACCTTTTCAGTTAACTGTCTGTCACCTTTAAGAACTCTTCGACTTAACTGTGCTTGATACCATAAGGTTTTTTGGTACAGTACTCTCCACAGAACAATCAATCTGTACACAAAATTAGGTAATCACCAAAAGCAAATTTCAGATTAAGGATAAAAATTCAGGTATCTCCTGGCTTAGTTATTTCTTGTTTAACTGTGATCTTCACTGATATAATAACATATCTACAAATAGATGGGCCTTAGGTATCATGCAAGATCTAATAATCAATAATTTTTCTGTGCTGTTCTTGTTAAGTGCCATTGAGTCAATTTTGACTCATAAGGACTCTACAGGATTCCAAGGAGCAGCTGGTGGGTTTGAACTGTCAACCTTGTGGTTCACAGTCCAATGCATATCTTACAGCACCACACCAGGAGCCTAATTTTTCTGTTGTAAATTTAAACCTTGATAATACAATGGTTGCCTATACAGGGTCAGTATGAGTCAGAACTGGCTCAATGGCACACAACCACCACCACCACCAATACTAATAAAATACGTATGTTGTATAGCCTTTAAAATTAATCCTAAAATGTTATTTTTTTAAATACCATAAAATCTATAATGTTGAGTGCTGATAGATGTAGGAGTTCTTTCTGAGATGATAATAATATTCCAGAACTACAAAGGGTCGTAGTTGCACAACCTTAGGAATATAGCAAAACCAATGAATGGTGAAATTTTATCTCACGTTAAAAAAAGAATCCCATTTAAACTATCACATAATTCACAATAAAACATTTAAAAAAAAGAAAGAAAAAATACACAATATTGAACATGATATTTAGGAAAATAATTATACCTGTGGCTGGGCTGTTGAGCAAGATTTACTGCTTGAGGACATGTCTTGAAAGATGACCTCCAAGACCAATTTTCCTGAGAACCATAGTTTTGAAACATTTGAAAAATAGGTACCATCAGTGAGTCTTGATCTGCTATTCCCCTTCCATCAGCTGATGTAGAAATAATTTCAGGTTGAAGATTATATATGCCATTCAAACTGGAAGCTACCATTCTGAGTAAATAAAAACAGGCTACAAGCTTCTCAGAAAATAACTGATTCTGCAGTTGCTGACTCAACAAAAGTCTTACAGTATGTGAGGTCAGCTTTACCAAATGCCCCACATCTGTTCTATATCTCATATCCCAATACTGGATTGATAAACACTGATGAAAAAGCTGAAAGATACAAAGTATCCAAGCACTTTCTCTCGGGCTCTTACCTAAAAAAACATCAAGTTTAGGGAAAGGACATTTCACAAACTGAAGAATGTAGAAAAAATGAGTGATACAAACTACAGTGTAATTTAACATTAAGTTCTTTTCTGTCACATTTTTTGAAATTCCTATGTTCCATGCTGCAAGGAGATTTTTCTGGATAGAATGCAGTTCTGTAATAGCTCTGTCTGTCTTCTCGGTCTCATCCTTTGCATGTATCGTATCAAACATAGATGCAAATTCCAATCTTCCCTCCTCAAAACTACTAAATAATGGACAATTTTTTTGGTTCCAAAAAGGGAAAGTATTGTTTGGACAGTGTTTGCCTTCATTAATTTCTTCCACTTCAAAATCCTAAAATAGGAGGGAAAGGTTATACTTAATAATGTGTAACATTTTATAATAGAATACATATGGTATGTTCACATTTCTCTTCCCTTTAACTAAAGATAAAATCTGTTTCTTGGGGGAGAAAAATCAATATATAATTGTTGTTCAAAGTAAATAAAATACTACTTACCTGAAAATCCGGTTTTTCATTTAACTCTAGTGTTTCTGCTGCTTGCAAGAACTTGGGGACCGTTGAATCAGTTGAAATTTCATTCTTTTGATGTTTTAACAGACTAGACCTTAGGGAGTCCAGGGATCGCAAGTTCAGCCCATTGCCTTTGGGCTATAAGAAAGAGGATAAAAGATTTCGAAGAGTAAAATGTCATTAGTAATTTATTACCATAACATAAAATTTTTGTAAACAACCATACACCATACAAGGACAGTACTGTCAGGATAGTTTTATTTTTAAAAGAATAAGATATCAACTTTTAAAAGTCATTTGCCCATGACACCAGACAAGAACTCTACCTTAGATAGTGTCACATTTTGGTATGTTTTCTCAAGCCTCTGGGTTGAATCAAGTAGAAGTGATCTCATGAGCACTGATGGAGACAGGTTATCAATCAATCTAAGGGTTGTGATCATGTAGCCGTCAGAAATAATAAGGTAGGGTAACCGGGAGTGGGCTTTTATAGAAAATCTCTGTCTCGTAGGGTCACTATCAGAAGCTGATGAATCTACAGATTTATTTGAATCTTGAACTGTAAAATGCTGTGGTCTAGCAAAAAACAAAAACAAAAAACACACATCAAAATATAATAATCAGTGAGAGAGAACCCTTAAAAGTCATAATATCCCAAAGCAAATTAATAAAGCCAGTATTAAATGTAACAGAACAGTGACAAAGAAAGCAAATGAAAGATTAAATGTGTCTATCCAGTTTGTTTTTGGGTGGGGGGAGGAGGTGATTTGTTGTGGGTTTTTTTCCCTCTAGTTCCAGTTCATGGTGACCCTGTGTTTGTCAGAATAGACAGATTTTAGTTAAAGTAGATCACCTGGCCTTTCTCCCAAGGCACCTCTTGGTGAACTCAAACATTAGTAGCATCCAGGGACTCCCAAATGGATCTATATCTGTCAGTAATGCATAATATAGTAGAGTAAATCATCTATAGGTTTATGTGCTCTTTAGTTTCCTCTATTATAGCATTAATGCTAAGGTTATTCATATACATGCAAACTACTTCTAAAAGAGCAATTTCTCCAAAATTAACACAGCTAACCAATAGATTTCATTAAAAGTTAAAATGTGGTGAAATTCTAAAGTCACCCATTCATTTTCAACACCCTTTTCACTTTGGCAAAAAAGTGAAATCCATGTGCCAAAGTGATGTTGAGATTAATTTATCTGAGTGTTATGTTTTACAGTAATAATTGCCAAAGCTTTTTATTATGAGTCAAAATCAACTGGATGGCAATGGGTTTTTTAAATTAACTTCTTCATATCAAAGTAGATAAATTTTCTAGGGCTATTGAATATTTAAATAATTCATACTTACATAGTCACAATGTCAAATTCTCAGCAGTATAAAGCCACAAAAAGAAATAGAAGAGAACTATAAATAAGAAACAGATCATGAGATGACAGACTCAAAAGTAAGAATAAGACAATTTGAAAGAGGAAATTATAAAAAACAAAACAAAAAACAAACACACACACAACAGTAAAAGTAATACCAAAAGAGAAAAGTTCTGTAAGTAAGTTCAAACAATTCAAATGTCTCACCTATATGTTATTAGGGGATGAAGAGGAATAAATTCTGCTGGCCCAAATTCTATAGAGCAACCAACTGTGATTAACGTTAGCAATTCACCCTGACCGGTCAATAGAACCAGGGAGCCACGTTTTAACATGCAAGCCAGAAAAAGATTATCATGTGTCCAGCTGATATCACCTACCCAGTAGGATCTAGAAAAAGCAAATGGCAACATGTTAAGAAAGAACTCTCTACAATGTCTTTGACAATTTATAATGGACGGGACCAAGCATAAGAAACCCTGATGGTCCCCTGGGTTAAAAGCATTAGGCTGGTAACCAAAAGGTCAGTGGTTTGAACCCACCAGTTGCTCTGTGGAAGAAAAAATATGGCTGCCTGCTTACATAACGATTTATGGCTTCAGAAACCCTCCCGAGCAGTTCTAGTCTGCCCTTACAGGACTGCTGTGAGTCTGAATTTTTTAAATGAGGATAAGTGCACTTTAGGCATTTTACTTCTAGGATAAATGTTAAGAAAAAGGAATTTGTTCTACTCCACACAATACACCAATATGAAATTTACATGGATTCATAAGGAACTCATAAAATGAAAATTCTCTCTAAAAGAGCATGGCTTTCTAGTCACTGAAGAGCAATGAATTACTTCTTATAGCTCTTCTACCCATACTCTTGTAACTCCTACCAAACAACGTTTCTGCCCTGCTAGGTCTAGGTAAGAGGACTTGGGAGAAGATGTCAATAGTATGTTATGATACAATTGTGAGTGGTTAACAGAGTTAATTTGTTGTTGTTAAGTACCATGGAGTTGGTTCCAACTCACAGTGATCCTACACAGGGTTTCCGAGGCTGTAAATCTTTACGGGAGCAGACCGCCTCATCTTCCTCCTGTGGAACCGCTGGTAGTTTCGAACTGCTGACCTTGATGTTAGCCCGATTCGTAACCAATATGCTACCAGAGTTAATAGTAATTGTAAAAACTTGGAATGCTAAAATGAGCCATCTCAGAAGCAGGAATGGGGGGATTTCACTACCATCAGATAAGAGGAGCCAGGAGTGGCACACATCCGTTGGAGTCAAAGATCCCTGACAATTGAACCTCTTCAACTCATAGGCAGGGAGCTGTGACTCTGGAGGAATGTCACAGAGCAGGAGAACCAAGAGCCAGAACACAAGACAGAGTAGTAGGCTTCCCAGCCCATGGGGCAAATAAAGCTGAGTGACTCTGGGCAGGAGACTCATTTGCAGAGTGTGATGCATGCCACATTCACTTAAGTGAGGGGGGCACTAGGTTTGCTGACCCATAAACTCAAGTTCGAGCCGAGTGCCTAGCTAATAGTGCAGTGGTGAGCCCTATGAGAGCATGTATTAGCGGACCTAAGAGAGCTTTCTAACACTCCTCAGCTGTGCCCCCAGGCAGAGAGAGGCTGTCCTGACAGGAAGAACTGAGCATTTTCTGATCCTGCTTTGAAACCAGTTCACTTCCCTAATCAACCCCATAACTGTGAGTATGGTGCCTGAGTTCTGTGTAGCCACTGCAGGGAACTACTGAACCGAGCTGAGAGGACTGTGGGAGGATGTTTGGAGCCACGTCTTTTTGCAGTCACTCAAATTTTTTTTTAAAGTTTTTATTGTGAATTGAGTGAAAGTTTACAGGGCAGATCATCAGTTTTACATTCAACAAATCATACACCTTGTTTCATTACAATGATTATAATCCCCTCCATGTACAGTATT